AAAAATTAAAAGTTTAGACATATGAAACATGAATTATAGTAAAGTTTTGTAGTTTAAGAATAAGTTTTAACTGAGTTATAAGGCGTTATGTTAAATTGTAATAGGTTAATAGTATAGTGTTAAGTTGATAATATTAATTGTTAAAAATATTGGGAATCAGTGAACTTGGATTAAACCTAGAGTTAACTCAGGAAAGTTTTTTGTATTAATCAGGGTATAGAGCAAAGAGTATAATATGAATGATTCATTGAACATTATGGAAAACACTTTGAACGATTTGTATTGAAATTGTGCACCTGTGACCTTGATGTAAGCACGGCAGGCATCATGGAATTTGAATTGTTTGCTTGGAAATTGCAGATCTCGTGGTGGTCTTGTGATGCATAGTTTGTAAAGCACGAAACTTGTACGCCCCCAGTGAGTGATTATCACATTGCTGGAGGGTATAGAAAATGGTATATAAGTTGGAAAAGGTTTGAATAAAATCGGCTTCGGTCTTGGCCAGGCTGAACCCAGAAGAGCTGCCTCCGAGTAGTTTTCTTCTCTCCGTCTCTGATTCACCGGTGCGGTCCTAACCCTCCCTCTGGTCAGTGCAGGTCACCGACAACCAGTTATGGTTGTTTGGTCCATAAAGTTTCTCATGTCATTTCAGAAGCAGATCCTGTATATTGTTTCATATTCTACTTTTTCATGTTATGTATACCAGAAGAAATCCAAGAGTCTCTTAAAGCCCATCTAACCCACCAGGATCATAAAGGTGCATAAAGTTTCATTAGTTGAAAAAATTTAAATTACTGTATTTCCTCAGTAAATGCCTTCTTGTGATGAACAAGGAAGTGAGCACCCTGTGTGAGCCTCTTCACATCCTAGAGAGTGTCAATGTGCACTTGAAGTCATCTTTTTAGATCATGCGACACTCAGGCCTTTGGAAACAGGCCAGACAGGGGCAGGCAATTTCCTTCTCAATTCCACACAGCCACTCTTCAACTGGAAGGCAAGGTCCTCGATGATATCACTCACAGTGCAGCTGCTCGGCCCCACGCTGTCCACTGTCCCCTGGACTGCTCCAGGTACCATCAGTAATTGCCAAGACTTGCTGGTGACTCAGGCCTGTGTTCTGGAAATCTTTCCTCTTGGCAACCTGACTTCTGAAAACCCCGGCAAGCCACTCCCTCAGTGATGAGCACCGGCAGACAGCTCACGGGGCAATTTCAAGGCAGGAAGGTCACATACTCCTTAACAAGTTGTCCCCATCGGCCCCACCTCCGATGGACGAGGTCAGCAGCTGCCACTGCAGTGACCTCAGCAGCAGGACCCCCCGGCCCCTCTGGGGTGTCCTCTGGCAAGGATAAGGGGTGTGACCCTCTGATAGCTGCCCTCAGTTCAAGTCCCATGTGCTCCCAGAATTGGTTTGCCAAGGGAGGTGTCTGGAAGGAAGACCCACGTTTCACTGACAACCCTTTGCAGCTCACGGGAGCACCTCTCTGAGGCCCCAGGCCAGAATCAGCAGCAGGTTTGAAACTGACAGTCACTCCCTTTCCCGCCACAAGAGCAGCTCCTTTGGGACAGGAGTGGCGCCCCTGCCACTGTCCCTCAGAGCCTGCCACAATGCCTGATGCAGGAAGGTTCTAGAATTGAAATGGGGCTAGAAGGGACAAACCATGCAGGGCCTCTGGAAGAAGCCATCGGTGACTTAAATAACATGCACTTGCAGAGACCTGCATCCCCAAACCACCCTCTCTCACCTCCCCAAATCCAGCCCTGCCCACACTTCTGGTCCCACCTCCACCAATGTATCCTGGGCTCTACCCACACCATGGTGTTCCACATCACGGGGCTTTTGCTCTTGAAGCTCTTGTTCTGCGGTCGAAAACTCCTATTCACCCTTAAAGACCCTTCCTGAGGGGAGCATTGACCGGGCACAGTGGCACAAGCCATAATCCCATCACTTTGGGAGGCTGAGGCGAGAAGATTGCCTGAGCCCAGGGGTTCAAGACCAGCCTGGGCAACTTGGTGAGAACTCGTCTCTACAATATATCAAAAAATTAGCTGGGCGTGACAGCACGTAGTTCCGGCTACCTGGAAGGCTGAGGTAGAATTGCCAGAGCCCGGCAGGTCGACGCTGGAGTGGCTGTGAGCGTGCCACTGCACCCCAGACAGACCCACCTCTCAGCTGCCTCACTCACTGCACACATTGCACTTGGGGCTTGTGTATCTGCCTCCCCAACAAGTAGGGAGATCCTTGGCTGTGCCTCGTACATTCCTGCGTTCTCTGTAGCTCTCAACACAGTAGTACGAGAACTGCGGCTGAATAAAGTAATCAAACACATTTCTCCTTGAGTTGTTGGTATTCACTCTGCTCGCTTACAATGAGCAGTGTTTGCACATGACAAAGTGTGTGGACCTTGGCAAGTGTGGGTGTAACAAACACCCACACAGGGCTCAGCCACCATCTGGCAGTGGCTGCTAACACTTTGTACACACACTTACGCACACTAACACACAAACATACGCTTAGATATACACACTCACGAACATATGCTCACACACACTTACACACACATACACACTCGCAGCTGCTGTTTTTTGTGAGCAATAATCCCTCATGAATTCTAACTGCCTGGGATAGGAAAACAGTCATCAGGCTGTCCATCAGTGCAGGCCTGAAGCAGAGCCATCCTAGGGACATTTCAAAGCTAAGGGTTCATCACCTCTCCCCACACACAAGGGGTACAGTGGACGGGGTCTTCTGGATGTGTCCAGAGAGGTAGATTTGAAGGCCACTGTTGGTTCTGCCCAGAGAACAGACTCAGAGTTGAATCTTTGCCCACCATGAGGCAGGACTGTCACCATGTCATCAACAGGTTTGTGGTTGCCACTCCACCACAACCACTCCCACGCCCGAGGCCCAGAGGCACACTGAGAGCTCGACCCAGTTGCCTCTCAGAGGACCCTGGCAGCCTTCCACATACCAGAAACATGCCAGTGGTCAGGGGAGGGCCAGTTCTGGCCAGAGGGAGCCTGCTCTGCTCCTTGTGGAGTCCAGAGGGGCTTCTCAAGGCCACTGCTGCTGCCCCTCAGGGAAAAAGAGAAAAGACCATTATTGGAAAGTCCCTTCACACTTTTGAGCTTCAACTTCCACATCTGTGAAATAGGACATCAATAGTTATTGTGTAAACCGGAGATAACTGATGAGATTTAAGAGATTTTTTGAGATAAGGAAGAGCCTATCTAAACACACTGTATCCCTGTCTCTGACATACACATACACACATGTACACACACATACACACACGCACAATCACACACACTCACACACGCACATTCCCTGCATGGACCTGGCTTCTTGAACCATTGGTATCCTGGAGAAAACACATGAATAAGTGAAAATGTGGAAAAAAGATTCAAATAGGAAGTGTGGGTAGACAGTCCTCCTACTCCCTGGATAATTACATGTCTTGCATGTGATCAATGTCGAGTGAACGTTTATTTCCCTTCCTGCCTTGCGAGACTCTGCAGGGTGATGGGGACAGGTCCCCTGCGATTCCGCCAGCTCCTAGACCTTCACACAGCAGTGTAGATGCATCCATCACCCCTGTCCCTGGGGAAGGGAGCTCACAACTCCTGCCAGGTGAGGAGTAAGGCATTGTAGGAAAATCCCAGACGTCTCCAAAACGCATTCGGCAGGGACAGCGTTTGTCTGAGTCAGAGCCTGACACTTTACCTCAGCTGGCAATGGCATCCAGGGAGCCCTGCTCCCAGACCCCCAGCCCTCAGGAACACCTTCATTGGACTCCTCCTGCCTCCAAGAACTCTCACCCTCTCGGGACCCTAACCTGGAGAAGAAGCCTCTCCACCTGCTTCTCTGGGACCTCCAGGGCCAGCATCTGCCCTAGGTCAGACCCGCCAGGGCCTCCCCCTCCCCAGAAACCCCGAGAGCCCAGTCCTCACAGGACCCCAGCCCCAAGCAATCCCTGCCCCCTGGGACCTTGTGGGGTTCATGAGGCCACTCAATCAAGGAGCTAGAGTCAGGGTGCCCTGACTCCGCCCTAGAAGGCAGGAGCCTTTGGCCACTGTGGCCTCTGGACAGTTCCTTCTCAAACTTGGTCCTGAGACACCTGTGGGCCCAGGCTATGACCCCTGCCCTGAGGAGCTGGTAGTCCTGCCCCTCAGGTCCCTTTGTGAGGCGTCTCTAGCACTGTCTTGGGAGGGACCCTGTTTCCTCCCAAACACACTCTTAGTGGTCTCACACACTACAGTAGCTTCAGGCACCTGGGTATACCCGTAGCTCCCAAATCTGACCCCTAGACCTCTCCCCTGGGCTCCAAGGCCCAGCACCAACCCCAGGGTCACTGCCTGGCGCAGGACCTGCTATATCCTGGGCAGCCCTATGCTGGGCAGAGGGTAAGGAACGCCCTCAGGGAGGAGAACTTTATCTCCCCACCCACACCTGCCTGGCCCAGCCCACTGCACTCATAGGCCCCTCTCAGTGCTCCTTCCTCTACCTCACTGCCAAAGAGACCACTGGCATCTCGGCCTCTTCCTCCCATCTTCTGGGGACAGACACCCCCCCCTTCCTATAGCCACAGGAGAGTGTGCCTGACCCTAATAGGACACCCATATCTGTCTCCCAGGTCCCACCCTTGAAATGGGCCCTTACAGAGATGAAGGGGCTGGGGGATTGCCAGCAGCTCCTAAAAGAGAAGGTCAGACCAGAGCTGCCATGGGCCCAGTCCCCCTTACCCCTGCCATGCCTTGCCTCCTCCAAGCAGCCCCCAACACCTGCTGTGGTTGGCTAAGACCACCCCAAGGGAGCCCTTGCCCTTGAACTTCTCTGCCCACAGAAGGCACTGACTCCTGCTTGCTCCCCTGGGTTCTCAAGTTCTCCTGCCCCTTCTCAGACCGCTCCCAAGCTCCCACAGGTGGCCGTTACCTGAACCTGAGTGGGGCTCAGACCTCTCTCAGCTCCACAAGAGGGGGCCTTGCTGCTAGTGTGGTGAGAGGAGGTAGGTGGCAGATCAGAAGACAGGGCCTGACAGCTTGGGAGGAGGCTGGGGAGGGTGACTCCAGGCCCACTGACTCCTCGGGGTAGCTTCCAGGACCTGGGCTCTAGGGGACCCAGCAGGTAACTACAGGCACCTTTGCCCCTGGAGGAGAGGTGAAATTGACACATTTCAAGCTGTGCTCCCAAACAGGGGGACCTAAGACAGACCAGGGACAGGGTTCACCCACTGCGGCAGCCCAGCCCTCCAAGAACTACTGAGCCTAGAGCCAGACAGTCTGACACCTGTGAGCACGCTGACCTTCCTGGGCACCACACAGTCATCTCATCTGGTGTCCCATCTCAGAAATGACCAGCAAGGCTCAGGTGGCTGGAGATGAGTCCAGAGTCGGCCAGCTGGTTCATGTCCAAATCGCAACCTTTCGTTCCTTGGCTGAGGTTGCTTCAGGAACACGGAGTAAACTCCAATTCTGTCCCCTATACTGTGCCCCCCACAGGTGCAGGCTCAGGCTGGCCACTCAGACTCTTGGTCCAGAGGTATCCACCAGGCATGTCCCCAGTGCAAGGACCTGCCTGCCCAGGCATCGAAGGAGAGCGGGGCCTCAAAAGGTACCGGAACTGCAGGTCTTTCCTGCTTCTGCTCATGGCAAGAGGACACTGGAGTCAAGAACCCACATCCAAAAGACATGGTCCCTGGAACTGAGACACAGACAAGGGCCTGGCCAGAGGCCTGGAGAAGGAGCCTCTCCACCTGCTTCTCTGAGACCTCCAGGACCTAGGCCAGACCCTCCAGGGCCTCCCCCTCCCCAGAAAGCCCACCAGGTAGAGGTCTGGGCAAGCCCAAGATAGCCTCAGGAGGAAAATAGAGGGGAGATAAATTCTCCCTTTCATTCTCAAACAGCAGGGTGGGAGCAGAACGTGCCCAAAGGGGCTGTAAGCACAGACCAGTCCTTCCTCCTGTCTGACCACTCCCTGTTGTAAAGCTCTCTGAGCCCCCAAGCTCTGCATTATGAGAGTCTGGGACCTCGGTTGCTCCCTGTTAGATAGCTACAGAGGACAAGTCAGTCCCAAGAGATCATCATCTCTCTGAAAAACATGAAATAAAACAGGAAATCCCAGAAGTAGGGTGACACTTTACTCAGAGAAAACACAGATGGCAACAGATAGAGGACATAAGCTCATAGGACTCTGTTCCAAAGGGTGCCTCACTCACAGGGGAACCCCATTAGGAAAGAGGTCCAGGCCCTCCCCGCATCGCAGGCCCCTGTAAGGGGCTCTGACCCACCCCCACTCCTGCCCTGGTCATGGACACAGCCCATAGGGGGCATAGAATCGTGATGGGACAGGCAACTCTGCAGGCCAAACATGGCTCCTGAGAACCTCCAGCCTGTCCTTCCATCTCCCAGGCATTCCAGCCGCGGGAAATGCCTGGTCTTCCCACCAGAGAGCTCAGAGGTTCCATAGCGCAGAATGTCTTCCAAATGCCTTGCCTGCCCTTTTCCCCGGGGGGGTAGACAGGGCTGGGGTTGGGGCTGGGGCTGGAGCCATAACAGGGGCTGGAGATGGGGTCAGGACTGGAAATGGGAGCAGAGCCTGCCTGGGACTGAAGCTAGGTGGGATTCTGTGCTAAGACACGGCCTAGAAACCCCAGGGCAGAGGCACAGCCTGACGGAGTACAGAACACAGCAGCAGATGACTTCTACACCTAACACTGAAGCTCTGGCCTTAACACATGTTCTTCCACCAGCCCAAGAACAAGCAAACAAGCAAAGAATGTGGGTGGACAGCCTGAGTCCTAGCCAAGGGGCAGTGGGTCGGCCTATGTGGAATGGAGAAGGATCTGCCAGTGGTAGGTGGGGTACCCACAATGGCTGGATGGTGGCAGTGTCCACCAGCTCTCCCAGTCCCAGAGAACTGTCTTCCAGCTTTCCAGGCACAGCCCCATCATCTCACCGGGACCCTCACAGCAGCACATCAGCGCGTTTGCTGCGCCACACCACCAGGGCCGCCATGGCGACAGTCAGCAGGATGGGCGCAACAATCAGCGGGATGAGAATCTCGTCCGGGGGGTCCTCCCAGTGGACCCTGTCCACGGTGCAGTTGGAGAAGAACTGCCTGTGGATGCCAGTGATGAAGCCCTGGGCCAAGGGGTTGGGCCAATAGCAGCCAACGGTGTTGGTCTCCACCTCGGTGCAGTTGGTGAAACTCTCATAGTACCTGCAAAGACAGAGAGGCTGACGGCCGGGCCCTCCCCATCTCGCCCCCACCTCCCCACACCCACCCTGACCCAGGACCAGGAGGAATGGATGGGACTGGTTTAGGCTCAGTCCCGTTTGGCCACCCACTCACAACACAGCCTTGGAAAAGACACTTCCTGGCCACAGGGTCATCTATGACTATAACTCACTCCCCGCGTCTCCTGCTCACATTTGTATCATCAATAGCCATGACCTGCTACCTTTGAGGCCAGGAGCTACCAGGTCTGGGGTCTCAGCCCAGCACCACCCAGGTCTGCCCAGAAATCACATTAAGCCGTGCTTCTCCAGGGCTGAGGGATGTATAGATCACGGCCACTTAGACCAGCAAGACCTTCATCACCTAGGAACACTCTAAGAGCCCAAGAGGAAGGTCTCTTTAAGGCCAAGGACCTCTCTATCAAATCAACCTACCCTTGTGTGCCAGGTGGTAGCCAGCAGGATATTCAGACCTATGAGCCCCCACCTCCACCTCTCCATCACTTGCTGGGAAGCTGTCTCCCTTACCCCGCCTGGGAGGACACATCGGCACCCCCTCCCTGAGAGTCTCCCTGTTTGTGAGATCAGACATGGGAAAGGCACTCAGCAAACCACCCAGATGTTCCACATCCAGTGGGCAGACTATGGACAGTCCTCACAGCTGACTGAGGGCTACAGCTTCCAGGGCCCAGAGCTCAGCCCAACGTACAGAAGGACTTCACAACCACCATCTGGCCCAGGATGCAGCTCCAGAAGTAGTGACCATCCTGTCTTTGGGGTTTGCAAGGTCTAGACTGGCAGCTACCTAGTCAAGATGTTCTGGAAGAAGCTAGCTAGATGCCCGTCCAGGTGCCATCAGCTCGGTCCCACGTCTGTACTGCATGAGGACAGACACAGGAGGAAAAGGAGGCAAGTGGCCCACATCCTCCTTCCTGAGCTGTCCCAGGAGAAGCCACTGATCTGGCCCATCAACAGGAAGGAGCCGCTTCCTGCAAGGTGCTTCCTGAGTGGAACATCATCTAGATCTGGGTTTTGAAAGCATCAAAAAGGGAGTGGGAAATGGGAAGTGCTGATCCACTGGGCCCAGGGCCTTCCTTGTGTCCCCCTCCTGGGCAGGGCCCAGGCATAGTCACCCAGCCCAGCTCTTGATGGATCTGAGGCTGGTTCTCAGCACAAGTTCCGCGATACATGTCAGACACAAATGTGTGCCCTTCCAGGCAGCCTTGGCAAAGAAGAGTCAGAGCAAAAGGAGCAGCCTGGAATCTGAGTACAGGGCCGTAGGCTGTCCTAGGCCTCAGCCATGATGCAGTCTCTGGGACAAGCCCAGGTTCCAGGGGACACTCAACAGCCAGGTCCACTGGCAAACCCTCATCTCCCCAACAGGCTGCCACAGGACCCCAGATTCAGTGGCCTGCTGCCCATCCCAAGCCCCAGCCAGTTGATCTGGGAGCTAGGGAGCCTCCCAACAACTCCCTACAAGAGCCATCAACCTTCAGACATGCCCAGGTTCCAGAGGTCCCTCAACCAAGCAGTAGGAGTTCTGGATAGAAGCCTGCCCAGATGCCACCAGCTCTGTCCCCACTCCCAGTCATGAGAGTCCAAGAAGGGTCCCTGGACATCTGATGAGAGGCTCTGACCCAGAAGACAGAGACCAGAGAGACATAACCAAGTGACCCAGAGCCTGTGCATCAAGAAGAAAACTTCAGCTTATGAAAGGCATGTGGTTGGTCGGGCTCAGTGGCTCAGCCTGTAATCCCAGCACTTTGGGAGGATGAGGCGAGTGGACTTCCTGAGCCTGTGGGTTCGAGACCAGCTCGGGCAACTTGGCGGGACCTCGTCTCTACAATAAATCAAAAATAAGCCATGTGTGGTAGTGCGCACCTGTAGTTCCAGCTACTTGGAAGGCTGAGGCGAAAGGACAGCCAGAGCCCAGCGGGTCGATGCTGGAGTGGCCGTGAGTGTGCCACTGCACTCCACCCCGTGCTACGGAGTGAGACTCCAACTCAAAAAAAATAAAGGCATGTGAGAATAAGATGTTAGAGGCGCTGCACATCTGGCAGTGTTTTTGTTTCTCCTTATTTGATGAGTAGATTGGAAGGAAATAACATTCTAGCTGAGAAATCACAGTCTTTCAGAATTCACAAGCCCCTGGTCACATGTAGAGGTTTTCCTTTGTTTCCACAGCTCTGACATGCCAGTGTTCATGTGGGACTTTTTCATCCCTCATGCCAGCAATGAGTGAGCCTTCACAGAATGCAAACGCAGGCCCTGGTTCCCAGGAAAGACCCCTGAATCCCTCCATTCCCCTGTTCTCTTTCTAGAAGTCTTACTACTTGGTGTTACACCTGGACTGACCTCTAACCACCTAATCATCCTCTCTCTCCTCGGCCTGGGAGAGTTCCTCAACATCTGCCTTCCAGTTCTCTTATTCTACTTTTACTTCTGTCATGGTCTCCATTTTCAGAGCTCTTTCTTCATTCCCTTCATCACGTGAGAGGCAGTCATTTGCCTCCCTGAAGATACCCATAGTGATATTTGGAGTTTTCTTCTTGGTGTAAATCTGGCTGCCCCCAGCTCCCCTTGGGTCCAGCTTCCGGCAGTCAGTCAGTATCTCTCACCTACCAAATGCCCCTCCCATTTGCCTCCACTCCTGTCCTCCCCACCCAGGGCTGGACATCTCTCTCTAATAATCTCTTCACAAAGGCTTTAGCAGATTACAGAGAGGAGTGAGAGCAGAAGCTAAAACCTCATCCTCCCTGGCCCCACTCCCATCCTGTGAGTCCACTCCAGACCTGTGACCAGGCCACCTTCTCCAGAAGCCTCCTCCTGGCTCACTGAGGACAAGGAGGAACCTGGCCAAACCCCTTCCTGAATCCCCAGCACCCCATTCCCAGCAGTCTCGGGAGTTCCATTCCAATTGGCTCAGCAAGCAGCTCCCACACTGCCAACTGTGTGCCAGGTCCACTCTGGGGCTGCAGACATGGGCCCCACCCTCCAGGAGCCCCTGCCTGCTGGGCCCCTAGAACACAGCCAGGGCCCAGGAGGCTTCCTGGAGAGGGGCCATGAGCAATGTCTCTACTGGGGGAGGGCAGGGGCTCAGGGTGCAAGCTTGCAAAAGCCAAAAACATGAGGCATGGGCTGGCTGGAGTCTGCCAGCTGCCATCAGTGGGTGCAAGGTTGAAGGAAAAGCAGGAGAGGTAGGGTGGGGTGGGCAGAAGGTTGTGCTGCCCAAGGGCGATTTCCAAGGAGGTAAGAGAATATCTTGTCTCCATGCTTGATGTTAAGTGTGACCACAGGCGATAAGAAGCTCAGGAAGCTTCTAGAACAATGGGCCCTCCCTCAGCAGTGAAGAGTTGTCTACAATTGCACCTGGTAGAAACCAGGGAGACCCAATCTCTGTAGGGCCTCTTGGCCCCTGATCACAGATCCAGCCCTGGCTAGTGCTGTGAGAAAGACACACAAGACAATTTCCACACAGCTCGAGCTGTGAGGAGAGACAGGGCACTCCCGGGCAGGGCATCCTCCAAGGCAGAGCGCCCCCCAGGACAGGGCAACCCACCCCCGGCCCGTCGAAGGGCACTCCCTGGACAGGGCTCCAACCCCTGATCAGTAGGAAAAGCAATCATGGGGCGGATTCCCAAATAACAGAGGCAGAAGCAGAAGCGCTGTGTGGAACTACTAGAAAGTCAGTGTGAGGGTGCAGAATCGGGGGATAGGAGGCTGGGAAGGAGCTGTGGGTGTGGGGAGCACAAATGCCATGGGTGGGGGTGGGGCATGGGT